ATGATGATGATGATGATGATGATGATGATGATGATGATGATGATGATAATAATAATAATAATAATAAACTTATACAAATAAATTAAAATTTAATACAATGTGAAACATGTTATATATAAATATGATTTAATAATAATAATTAAAAATAAAGCTACAGCAGCATTAACTTTATGTTACTCGTGTGGGGTGTAAAATACATAACTCAGCTTTAGAAATTTACTAAATTTACAGAGTAAAATAGACATTTTTAAAGGTATAAAATACACTCTACGAGTAATTACATTAAAAAAACTATATGAGTAATGTAGGGTTATTACTGTTATAATGTTTGATCCAGAAAGTCTTTTAGCAAGATGTGTAACCATAAATATATGAAGATGAATGCATAAAGAAAAATTATAAAAAATAATAACAACACAAAGATAATAATCTAATTATTTAATTAAAATTAAAATAATTAACTTGTAATGTAAAATGAAAAGCTGCAATGCGAAAAGAAAGAAGAAAAGCAGAGATCACAATAGCATCATTTTATAGTAGTCTAATTTTATTTATTTTATCAATATTATTTTATCAATATTTTTCACATTATTGCGCTTGAAATAGGTAAAGAAAGTGCGGATAATGAAGAATAGTGAGGTAATATAAAATATTACGATATCTAGCCTATTAAATGTTACAACCTAGCAGACAGCAGTAGGATTACTAGCTGCTGAACCTCTATCTAAACGTACAAAACGGCAATGTAGCACGAAGTGTCATGTAGTTAATTATGTGTAATTTACATGTAATTTAACATTTTGTGTGTATCGCTACTTGCGTAAGGTTAGTTCATAAACTTTTATTTTACAACCAATCTACTTCACAGATTCTTAGTCGCTTTTCGTTACATGTAAAACTAAGATAGAGCTTTAATGTAATCTATTTAGCAAGTGTTGTGTATGATAAATATGTGTGTATAAATATGATAAAGAAAAAAAAATTGCACTGTTGAATAATGGAAGTTTGTATAACCTGCCACTTTTTATAAGAATTATTGCATAAATGTATAGAAATAGGTGGAAGAAATTAATATGAAAGTGTTGAGAATATAATATATAAGTTTATTAGAAAAATTAACAAAGTGATCATTTTGTTAATTTTTCTAATAAACTTACATATTATATTCTCAACACTTTCATATTAATTTCTTCACCTATTTCAATCTAAACGTCGAAACAAGCAGAAAGGTGTAAGAAGATTTTTGTAAAAAAAAACTAGAATTCCCAGTTGAAGATACATTGATAGGAGTACTTATACCGAAACGTTAAAAAATAATTATTATTGCAGTTTATACTCTAATGTTTCTTTATTTCAGAAGTAATATTATTTTGATGAGTAGGTATATATTATTATAATAAAAGTTTTAAACATGTTATAGGGTACCTAGGGGGAATATGCCACTTAACAAAAATTTGTTTTTTTTTTTTTAATTTCTATTTTTCTTTCTCTTTGAAGTATCTTTGTATACTGGTCTCCTTTTTCCTTTTTTTATCTATTATTTGTATCGCGATTTTAAGGGGATCCTGCAGTGACAGGCAAACTTCCTCGATGTGGATAATGTCAACCTTTCTAATTTTGTTTTCCCTATATCTGTCTTCGTCTAACGAAATAACATCTGTCTTTGTTCGATTGCTCGCCATCTTACACAAGATCCGGCAACTACTGTTGCTGCTCTTCTTGTCATCTTGCATTCGTATTTGCATTACTAAAATAATTTTTAGATGGATCTTTTTTTGTACGCATTGAATCTTACTTCTACTTGCACGATATTATTTCTACATGTTTTCCCAAGGGTGGATGATAAACATTATGTATGTATAAACTGCAGAATTTTTGTTTTAAGCAAATATTGTCGTCAGGTGACAGCTGTGTATGTGCCCCAATAAGTAATATTTTTAATTTTTTGGTGTTTTTGATATAAAATCGCGTTTGGCACCCTAGATTTTTGTGCGAACTTTAATTCTGTAAAAGATTTTTGCAATTCTATAAAGCCAATTAAAAGATCCATCTAAAAACGATAATGTCGGTAAATCATACGACTGCAGGATCCCCTAGGATATTTTGATTGTTTACTATAAAAAAAAAGAAATACAAAAGTGTTGCAAAGTAGTATATATTACCCAACCATGTAATATGCCAAATATGTAAGGTTACTTTATTCATAAAAACAGTACAAATAGAATTTGAAATAAGTCAGGACAAATAGTTTTTAGCATAAAAAATAAAATTTTAAAATTAAATTGTAATATTAAAATTATGGTAATATTGGATTACAACATTTGAAATTAAACTGAAAAATAAATCTTAAATACTTTAAAACTTTAAACCTCACAAACTTTAAAACCTTATAAACCTTAAGATCTTAAAACTTTGTTTTTACAATTTTGTGTCAGCTACACTTTATTTAGCTACATTTTTTCTTTTTAATCTTTCTCGTATTTGAGGCATTCTTGTTTAAAACATGTAAAGCAATATTTTTATTACTTTCTTTGTATTTTAATAGTGTTGTGTACTACAAGTAGTCTAAATTATCCGGACAATTTTGCAAAATATTAAAATAGGATGTAGCTTATTCATATAGCGCATGAAATAAATATTTAGGTTTATTTATTTTTAACATTTATACAGGAAAATATTTGTTTATACTGTTTACAACTTTCTAATTTATATACTGGCATTTTATTCCTATTTATGTAGTTGCATATTTTCCCAAGACACAGTTTTATATTGTAATAAGCCTGTACAATACGGCTGTCAGTAAAACGAACCAGCGACGTACTGAATACTTTCATTTTATAACCAATATTAACAGAACGACAAGCTAATTGAGTTAAAAATAATGTAACGCTTAAAGTTACATAAAGCATTAAGAAAGTTCTAAAAAGCACGTTGTCAAATGTACTTACCTCATAAAAATTACCTATAATACTGCCAGGAAATGAACAAAAATTATGCAAAACGTCAGATATAGAACTATAATATATGAAAAATTTCATAGTATGGTTCAAATTTTTTATAATAATACTGCAAATTCAAGTATGTTATTTTAGCAGTTTTAGCTGAAGCTCTTCTTATACATTTCTTGCCGTTTTAAAACACTTCATTTAACACGTTTGAACGTATTAACTTTTAATTTAATATGATCAAACGTCTTAAATAACGTACTTTAATACATAAAGAACTATGTAAAAAGAGCTTCAGTCTAATGTGTTATTTTTAGACGTTTATATATGTAAAAATAACACACTTAGATTTGCAGTAAAATACTTGGCATTACAACTTACAATCAATGAAAACTGAGTTCAATTATCTTTAATATTATACTTTTCAAGTTTTCTTAAAAAAATCTTAGACTATTCCGTAGAGTATATAATACCTGCACTTTTTTTTCTCTATACGAAATGTTTTACACATTACAAATTAATTTTGATGGCACACATCTGATGAACCTGCAATTATTTATTTTTATTAGTGAAAATTTCGAATAGTTTTGAAAATAATCACAGAAGAATAGCTTTTGGCAAACTAAATTTCAGAGGAATAAGATGGGTAACAATATCATTCCTTCAAATTTTTAATTTATTTAATTTTAATTTATTTAATTTATTTAATTTTAAATAGGTTTTAGTAGAATAAAACTTTAATTAAATGTTCAATTAGTTAACCCTGTTAACCTATCTCGATATCTTTGTTCATGAAAAATTACTTTCGACTTAGTTGCGGGATCTATTTTTAAAATTAAAATCATCGGAAAGAAAAAGTGTAAGGCATAAAATAGAACGAAAATAATCTTTTTAAATCATTATCATAATGATTTAATTGTAATGTCGCCTATGAAGTCATTTCATAAATAATAAACGCGGGCAAGACGCGAGTTATTGTATCTCACATAATTAACGAGCTTACAGCCTCCGACATTGTCCGTCGGTGATTAACAGGGTCCCCCGTGTGGAATCAGACCTGGACCGATCGGTTGAAGCAAGATCTATTTGTAAAATACGACAAGTTCGCCCGGCCGACGCAACATTTTAATACAACAGTGGTCAAATTCGACATTACTTTGCTTTATGTCGATGTGGCAAGTATGCGCGACTATTAAAACGCGTAATAGACGTAACTTTATCCTCGCGATTCTATTTTTTTCAATTTTCAGGACGATTTCAAATCTACCATCACCGTCAACGGATGGGCTTCTCATGTACGTGAAGTTTAATGTCTTTATATAATACGCTTAACACTCCTATATAACATTTAAGCATTTAATTAACATAAAGCTCTGGAAATTTTAATAAAATTTAAATAATTTTATGTTACATAAGTTATTTGTATTCAAGATACATCAAATAAAATTTTGAAATAAATGAGATACTCTTACATAGTGACTGTTAAAAAAAGGATATATTTTTAAATTAGAGCCGATTTCTTACTAAAGATGTTAAAAATAGTTATTTATAGCAATTTTTTAGTTTTGAATTTTTTATATTTTTGTAATTAAGCCTCAAATAATTCTGTTAACGTGATTTTTACTTAAATAATAGATTTTTATTTGATATTGAAGTTAAGGTAATGCTGGAGTCGTCTGTTTTATCGATAAAATTACCATTTTCTTTCTACTCATGTAGCGTCGTATTATTTGACAGAATTAAAAATGCTTTTCCATATAATTGCAGTACATACATCAATCAGGAAAACTTCAATTTTATATAGAAAACGAGAAAAAATTACGGAATTACAGATTTCCTTACCTACTTTTATCCTAATATGGCGTCTCAAGTTACAGCAATCGCTGTTAACTCATCACATGATGTGTCTTCATATAAAAAATATACCATTGATACGAACGTGAAAATGAGTTTCCCTGAATTGCACAACAAGAAAAACATCGATGAACCCTCCAAATCAAGATTAGAAGTCTAATATAAGAGTACAGTGTATATGACGATTCGTGCGTATGTGTGCGTGCAATGTAGATGCTATCCTTGTCTACGTCCTTGTCTATTATACAAGGACAGATATAGGTCAATAACATAGAAAATGGCAATTTTGTCGGTTATACAGACGATTCCAGCATCACCTTAATTTTAAAAAATTTTCATTATTTGTAACTCAAAAATTATATATAAGTTTCTCAATATTTATGCTAAGAAAAAGTCGACCAAGGATCAAATAAAAAAAATAATTATTTCACAAATTAAGAAAATTGTACATTATAATGTGCACCTTGCATTTATCTTTGTAAATTTGAATAATTTTCGATAACATTGTGTTACACATGTTGTCAAATTTGAATCAATAACAGCTATTAAAATATGTACAAAAGATAAAAATTTTAGTAAAAAAAAAAGTGATTTAAATTTAATTTTTATATTTTTAATAACTTTATTTATTTCAAATTTTGTTAAGTAGAATATATTATATAATTTATTTATATGTCAATTTTTTCCCCAAAAATTAATCTTATAAAAAAATTTTATTTTACGTCTTTGATTTATTTCTTTATGAAGATTTTATCCCTTTTTTTATTGTACTATGTAGTTCAAAGAAATTCTGTATATTTCTTTGATATTATAACAAGTGGCGTATTGTATCATATAACCTTATATTGTAACTTTTTTATAATTAATATTGCAAAAATACGCTCAATGTATACTTAATAATTAAGATCAGAGATGCAAGTTTCTTAATTTTTTATTCATTATCATTTTCTATTTTGTATTCAGATGTGGACAGATGAGAAGCTCAAATGGGATCCTGTAAAATATGGCAATATCCAACATATTCATGTAGGAAGTCACGAGGTATGGCAGCCAGACATTCTGCTGTATCACAGGTATATAATCATTCATCTTAATTCTTTAATAGTTATTTATATCACACGTGCGTGAAAAGTGGCTTATTACGCGCGCGCCATCTGTGCGACAAATAGCCAATTCCACACACAAGTCGAAACAGTGCGGTAATGTTACATCCGTCGCACAGATGACGCGCGCGCAATAACGGGCCACTTTCCACGCACTTTGTAATATAAAATAGGGTGTGTGCGGGTTGAGAATTGGACACGCGTGCGGATAACTATTGTGTAACAAGTTGAGAATTGGACACGAGTGCGATCACCCGCATTTGTTTCCAATTCTTAACCCGCACGTGTAGCCCAGTCAATAGAGCCCGAAAAAGCCGCTGAAATTGCATTAATTCCGGGAAGCAATTTTAATTTTTCGTCTGTTTCGGAGGGTCATGGATAGTCTAAAACCGGATTTTCGTGATTCTAACCTTGGAGCGTTAGCCGCCATTTTGATTAAATGGGTGATTTTGTAAACATCTTGCTTATTTTTAACTTTAGAGTTAAAGTGGTAATAACCAAACTTGTAGAAAATTTAATACTCTACAATTTTGGTCCTTATCATTTTTCACCTAGGATCGATATTTTGGGTCTTAGATTTGAAAGTGGGGGGTACAATTTTTTTATTTTTTTTTATTTTTTGAATAAACGCGCCATAAACTCTACCCCCGTGGTGGCGTAGAAGAAATGTTTTTTATTATATCAAGTATTAAAGAATAAAAAAAAATAAAAAATTTTACCCCCCACTTCGAGTCTAAGACCCAAAATATCGATCCTAGGTGAAACATGATAACCAAAATTGTAGAGAATTAAATTTTTTACAAGTTTGGTTTTACCACTTTCACTCTAAAGTTGAAAATAAGCGAGATATTTAATAAAAAAAAAAAAATGAACGCGTGGTCGCCACGCGCGTTAGAAGTGAAACTTCTGAAGGCAAGGCTTTGCTATAACTTTTCTGAAATTAATACAAAAACAATGCAACGGAATTAGTCTCTCCAAGCCGCCCGCAACTCGAAAATATAGTGTTACACGCAGTTCTCACTATATCCGTCTCGCCAGTGCCGTACGTCTGATCGAATTTTCGTGACGCGTTTTTGAGTCGCAAAATCGAATTTATTTACCGATCCAAAAGGAGCTTCACTTTGTACGCCTGTTGGTCGAATTTTCGTGACACTATTTTGTGACGATTTTTCGCACAATCGAACTTACTACCGTACCAAAGAAGTTTCATTTCGTACGCCTATTGGTCGAATTTTCGTTACACTTTTCGTGTCGCATAATCGAACTTACTACCGTGCCAGAAGAAGAACCGTCTCGCCAACGTCGTACGCCTATTGGTCAAAATGACGGCTAACGCTCCACAGGATTAGAATCCCGAAAATCTGGTTTTACACTATCCATGACCCTCCAAAACAGACAAAAAATTAAAATTGCTTCCCGGAATTAATGCAATTTAAATGTCTCTATTGACTGGGCTAGTTTTACACACCCTATTTTATATTACAAAGTACGTGGAAAGTGGTCTATTGCGTGCACGCCATCTGTGCGACGGATGGCGCGCGCGGAATGGGCCACTTTCCACGCACGTGTGATATAAAAAAATATATGTGAACATCTAAAATAGTGTTCAGAATTTTCGTGTGATGAATTTCAAATCTTAAATTACTCAAACTATTCGAACCTGCAAATATATCCCATCAGTTTAAACGGCTTGGTCTGTCAGATCTGACTTTTTCTCTATTCCAAATTACATAAAATTAGACAATATATTGCGCAAATTTAAACGATATATTGTTCTTTATTTTTGAAGTGAAACTTCTTTAGGCACGGTAGTGAGTTCGATTTGCGACACGAAAAAGTGTAACGGAAGTGAAACTTTTTTGGTACGGTAGTAAGTTCGATTATGCGACACGAAAAGTGTAACGAAAATTCGACCAATAGGCGTACGAAATAAAACTTCTTTGGTACGGTCAGAGAGAAACCTGAGAGCGGCCACCGGGATCATTCCGTTCCAGCGGACGTATACTGACGCGCCGCCTGAGAAAGTGGACGTCAACTACGTCGTTACGCTCGGTAACGGTACACACATGGTTCGTGTCCGTGCTATGATTTGTGTCCGAACTACTCAGATGGAGGGGATGTGCCAGTCGGCTGACTCGGCACTCGGCAAGCTTCGAGCGGGGAGAGAAAGGCAGACATACGATCTGCTGTCTCTTTCTCGCTTGAGCTGGCTTGAGCTGTGACGTAGCTGCTTAGCACACGCTGGCTATGCCACGATGCCATGCATTTCGGGTATCGCTCCTCGCGTCTCGCCGAGTCTCGAGTTGGCAAATCGACGATGCGCTATACGTTACATTTACGTTTATATTTACAAATTTCAATTTTTATATTTATAAATAAATAAATAAATAAATATTATATATATATATATATGTATTTGAAATTTATAAATACAAAGATTGCAAATATAATTAATTAAAAAAATATTTATAAACATAAAAACTAAAATTCGTAAATGTAATGTATAGAAATCCCCGTTCTGGCCAATATGCCTTTATATAAAAAAAAGTCTTACTTTAAAAACCTTTACTTTGCATAATAGTATTTAAATTTAATATTTAAATGCATAACAATAATTACATATTAACTATATCGAAAAAAAGTAGTTTATAATGTTCTTTTTACTCTTATTAAATTTATATTAGCTATTAATGTTTATAAGCGGCCACGAGCAACAACAGAGAGATATTGGATTAAAATAAAAACAATTTCTTAAATAAACAATACACATGGTTAACGTTTCGACTGTACTTAGTCTTCTTCGGAACGGATTACTATACGATAGAAGAAAATAAATATAAAAAAACATGATAATTAATGTTCAAGTTTACATACTAAAACATTAAATATTAGTCTAGACTAAAACATTAAACAATCACCTAATATAATATAAACAAAGTAAACAATAATCTAATTAAATCACAAATATAAAAACGCCGGAATAATCGAATAAAACCATAACAAGAGATAAATTTATATTTATATTGAGAAGTGGTAAAATTTCTTCCGTCAGGAAAAGAATGTAAAGAATTATTTATTAACGGAGGTATTCTGATTTAAAAGATCTTTAAAATATATATTTTTCAGGAACTTTTTATAGGGAAACGAAGAAAGTGAATAACGTTAAACTTTGCATGTTTTCTTCACTTTATTTTAATAATTTATTATTATTTTTTAAGTAACAAAAATGCTCTTTTTTTTTGTTATATCCTGGTTACCATAAATGACAGACGGTATAAATAATTCTAGCTGTTCTAGGTATCTGAAACGCAAAAAGCTAAAATTTTCTTATTCAGAAGAAGTATATGTGGCTATCGTCTGAACTAGAACTAAACCAATATTTCCATTCTAGGTTCTCTCTCTAGGCGGCCTTTTTATCAAAAATATTATTAATCAATATTAAATAAACCATTTACGATCTGAGCTTAGATTTTATAATAGCCTAATATTTTTTATATACTATATATTTACATATTTTTCCAACTTTAATCAACTACGCGCCGACTAACTTGTCAGACTTACAACACAGCTCCTATTGGATTAATAAAATCCCTTCCACTCCTCTAATTAAATCGATTTAAATAATAGTAAAGAATTTTTACTACTCCAACAGGAGCTGTGTTGTAAGTCTGACAAGTTAGTCGGCGCGCAATTTATTAAGATTGAAAAAAATATACGTGTAATTCACAAAAAATATTATTAGGCTATTAAGATCCAAACTCGGATCGTACACGGCTTATTTAATATTGATTGATTGTATAACGGTCACATAAAACGGTCTTATTTCTCTTATATTATTAAAAATATTATAACTTTTTTCAAAATTTTGTTAATATTTTATTAAAAGAAAAAAACTAATAAACGTATAATATATGTTTATTCTAGTTCAGACAATAGCCACACTTATTTTGAATAAGAAAATTTTTTGTTTTTGGGTTTCTGATACCTATAGAACAGCTAGAATCATTTATGCCCGGTTTCTTCACCGTCGGATAACTTTATCCTTAGGATAAAGTCACTCTTCATCTCTTTCTAACCTAACTCTTAGAAAGAGATGAAGAGTGAATTTAACCTAAGGATAAAGTTATCTAACAGTGAAGAAACCGGGCATTACTCTGTCTGTCATTTACACCTTCTGGTGATCAGGATATAACATAGAAAAGAAGAGCATTTTTCTTACTTAAAAAATAAAAATATATTCTTAAAATAAGGTTAAAAAACATGCAAAGTTTAACGTTATTCGCTTTCTTTGTTTCCCTATAAAAAATTCCTATGTATGAAAAATACTTATTTTTAAGACCTTTCAAACCAGAATACGCCCTTAATTTATTATTTGTTATTAATATATTGTTATTAATTATATACATATAAGTATTAGAAAGCATATGGTATAAAATAATTTCAATATTCAAATTATTGTAATAATAATAAAGAAATCAATTATCTACATTTTCTTCTGTGTGTGTATGTGTGATGTTATCGACAATAGTTTTTTTGCACGTTTATATTTTTTTGCAGATTTTTTACACGCTTAATTTTCACAAGTGTGATGCCAAATACAGTCAAGATTTTTGTTTATCTGATATAAGCGTTATTTTGAATGCAAGATTTTAATAATCAAACGTTTTTAATAATCAAACATTTTCAAACTGCAAGCGAAGGACAAGCAATATAATTATCTACAGCATGTAGTCTTAAAATACTACGATCTTTTCTAGCAGCACTAACCACTAGCGTGTAATTTGTCCGGCGACATTACGAATTTCTTCTGCTGCAACACATAAAATGTTGAACAGTTTTCTCGAATGGTTGTAATAACGTCTGTATGTCCTTGCATTATTAATTCGTTAAGGTATTGTTCACATTCTCATTCTAAAATAATAATCTTATTAAAAAATGTTTATTCTTCTTTAAAGAAAATACTGTCTCAA